AACCAATAAGCTTAAGAGAGTTAGCTCAAGAGAGCACACCTAGAGAGATCCTATCTAAGCAAGCATGCCAAAGAAAGTCTAACAAAACTATCCTACGGGGAACATGCAATCAGAGCGAAGTCGTGATCTCAATTTCTAAATTGAGTGACTCATCGATCAACAAAAAATCAAGGAAAGTGATGAAATCCTATAGGAAGCATGCACTGAGAGCGAAGTCGTGATCTCAATTTCTTGATTGAGTGACTCATCGATCAACAACCAAGGAAACAAACACAAGCACAACACATATAGCAAATGATGTGCGAAATGCATGCTACAGGTCTTTAAACATCAACTTCGAGCGCACGCTCTTTATTTCCTACTTCTCATGATATCTAGAAAGCGATAAATGATGAAATGAGATAAACAAGAGAAAATACCAAACAAATATCAATCCGTAGAAAAGCCTACCAAAATGAAGAAACCCGACAATCTTCTCGAAAGCTTAACCAATTAAAGAAAATAGTTAGAAATCAAATTCTCGGAATAAGTATCGACGATCATCGATGTGAAAATAAATCACAATCGAAATCTCAAGTGCATCCGCATATCGCACGATGAACCTGTATAAGACTCAAATCTTGCCAAGCAAAAGTAAGTCATGAAACCTTGGCAACAAAATGATTACTAAACATAATCGATAATAGAAAATTCTAATGATGAGTAGGTAGCATCGTCGTTGGAGTTTTAGGGTCAATTCGAATGAGGGACTTACGGTCACCAAAGCAATGTTAGGACGCCTTAGCGGTAACCCTAATGTCTTAGATCATTTGTTTGAGGCAATCATATCCGAGGCAACCGTTTCGGGGCGACTATGATCTTTAGACAAGAGGACGACCTCTAAAGTGACCTATACTCAATGACCGCGTACAAAGGCAACCGAGTGGGGTGTACCCTAAGGGTGCGCATGTGCGAGTGTGTCGTTTTCAGTTTACTTTTATATTTGTACATGTTAAAGGTGATCTAAGTTGATTTCAGGTTAAAACATTCAGTCTTGTCATGCATCCCTATTATCAAACATCTAACAGTTATATTTTGCGGGAAATAAAATGCGAAATTTAAATTACAAGGCGTCGGGTATTTACATCGCCAAAGACAAACCCTTTAAAAATCAATAAAGTGATAAAAGATAAATAAAAGTCCTATTAAGCTATTACAAACCGGAAGCAAGTACATAATAGGATAAAAGAAAATGAATCGCGTGCGGGAAATTAAATCGAGTGCGAGTTTAGGGTTTTGACCCCTTTTCATTAAAGAAAATATTTTTTGTGGTTTTTATTTTAATAAAGAAAATGAAATTAAACCTAAATTAATTACTAAATTAAATTAATTAATAAATTGTTTTTGGTTTTTTGGTATTTTAAGAAAGAAATAAAAAATAAATAAATGAGTTAGTAAAAACCTAATTAAGTCTAATTTAATTTTAATTATTTACCAAAATATATTAAATTTATTCTAATTAAACCTAAGTTAATTTTAATTAGTATTTATTAAAAAAGTAAAAGTTAAAGCTTTATTGAATAAAAATATTTTTGGTGTTTTAATTTTATACAAAGAATTTTGATTGGTCAATAATTAAATAGAAATAATAAAACAATTAAATAAAAAAAGAGAGAGAGAGAGAGAGAGGGGGTATGGGCCTGATTTAAGGTGTTAGAACAGCAAATGAGAAGCCCAATTGCATTAGCCCAGTGTTGACTTTCTGGAATCAGGTGAGCGCTTGTTGACTGGATCTATGATGGACCATCATCTCTTGGCCACCAGATCTGGCCAATGGCCATCTGGCAATTGATTTAATGATGGTGTATGATGCACTGCAAGTCCTCATGAGCATTGGAACACCTGAAGAAAAAATATATCAAAGAAGTGGAGGACCTGGGATTCAAACCCAGGTCCTGATGGTGATTGCAAGCTTGCCTTGCCACTACGCCGTTTTGATTCATTTGTTAATATATTACATAACAATTATAATATATCAAAAAAGCAATTATTGGTCAGAAAATAAAAATGCACGCAAAAAACATTTGAACGGGCCAATCAGAGCATGCCAGCTCTTCGTCCCTGTCCTTCCACTACTGTAATTTTACCTGCGGATTTAGATCCGCAGCTAAATGCCCAAGCTTGCTCTAAAATCTTCCCTAGGCCTCATAAATCAATTCCAAAATCATGGCTAAATTCGTCTTGGCTCCCTGATCAACACTATGCCCTTCTTGAGTCCTGATTTTTCCTGAAAAAGAAAACCCCAAAATACAAACGAAGAAACCTAGCTATGGGGGTTCCTCATTTAGGCCAGAAAAATGCAATTGGATATTGCCAAACGTTTGCAAATGTTGTGAGGAGTATAAATATGCCAATGATTTATTCAAATGATGCAAGAATGATGAATCACGAATTCAAGAACCAAGGTGATTATCGTGAAACTTACAGTGCTTTTGATGGCCTGAGGACGCGTGCTTTTGATCCAGGAAGGTTGTGTGATCACCCAGGAATCGATTGGGATTGGTCTCTGCTTTTGAAAACGCCTCTAAGTATGATTTTGATTTCACACTTTTTAGTGAATTTTGCAACTTTTGTATTGCCTGTTCTTGCAGCCTCTAATCTCTATTCATGTTTCTTGTGGCTTTCTTATGTACTATGGAAGGCATTAGGTTAAGAATTATGGATTGAATCTCTCTAAATCAATGCACCCATATTTGATTTGATTTCCTCTTTAAAGCTTTCCAAATTTATCAAAGATCAATCCTTTTGCACATGATATGGTGTGATCCGAGTTTGATGATGCCAATGATGATAATTAAAACCTGAAACAACCAAAAAGATCTTAGGTAATCAAAGTTTGGATTTTATATGATTTAATTTGATTTAAAATGAATAAATTCAATAAAAAATCAAATTAAATAATAAAAATAGAGTATGAGCTCATGGCTGAAGCTAGGACACGTGGACAATGATGTAAGCTCAAATCAAGTGGAAAAGAATGGGCCCATTTGACAAAAATTTGAGGTTTTGGGGATAGTTGACTTTTGGCAATTTTGCAAAAATGTCCAACTTCAACAATGCATAACTTCTCCAATTTGAACTTTTGGAAGTGTTCTTTGACTTTTTATAAATCTTGAGATGTCCTCTAACCAACCCTTTTGGTATCATCTCATTTTGATATTCCATGCTCAAATTATAAGCTTTGGAAAAAAGGTGTTTTTGTTGACTTTCAAAAATGACCTATAATGTCCAAATTCATAACTTCTTGTGAGTGAATTTCTTGATCTTGGGGTATTAAGATGGATTGTAGGAAATTGCATCCTGTTCAAAATGAGCTTTGGATGGGTCATTTCTCATAAAGTATGAGAAATTTATGCTTGGTCAAAGTTGAGTTGACTTTTCCTACAAAACCCTAATTTAGCAACTTTTGAGTCTTGATGAATTTTGAGCAATCCTTGATGAATCATGATCAAAACTTGATCAAATTATGAAATATCCTTCAAAATAAGAATGTTTACAAACAATCTTGAAGTTTAACTATATATAGGTCACAATTGACTTTTGCCCTAGCATAGTCGATTTTTGGACCTTTTGAGCAATTGACTGAGCAAACTTCCTCTGCAAGGCTTGAAATTTGACATGGATGATATTGAGAACATATTAGGACATTGGGGAGCACTTGAGGTAATTTGGATTCAAAGATATTGATGCAACACAAAACCCTAACTCGGGGTTGACTGCCTTAGGAGATGATTTGTCTGACCCACTCTTGAGCAACCTTGAGCCACTTGGAGATTTTTCTTGAAATGTTTTGAGGAATATGAGAGAGAAAATTTTGGGGTACAACACTGTGTTATTTTTTATTATGGAAAAGACGAATGAAGATGTTGCGGAGGTGATGAGGTTTGAGATGCAGATCGAAGTTGTATGATGAATAAGCGATTGAAGAAGACGCAGTAATAGCAGTGTGTTGAGAGTTGTTGAAAAGATGAAGTTTATCACAGAAGCTGAAGATTAAAGAGAGTTCCTGAGTGACAGAGAGAGCTTTTTGTTGATGATGATGGTGAATGTTGAGTACGTCAAGATGATGTGGAGAAGAATAAATATGAGAGAAGAAGAGAAAGTTTCTTGGCGATTCTTCTGCAGAGATTGAAGAATGAGGCTTGGTGAAGATGAAATACAGAGGGAGAGATAAGGAGTTTTCAGAGATTGATTTTTTAGGGATTCTCTAGATATTGAAGAATGATTATCAAAGGTGAGTTTTTTTGTTATATAATTCCGTTATGGTTAGGAAGTTAGAAATCTGGGAAGTTAGTTAGAGTTTGTTATGAAATCAGTTAGGAGTGTTTAGACTATTTCTTAGTTTTGAGTAGCGAGAAGGAAATGGTTAGGGGCTCGAAAATTAGTTAGAGATTATGTTAAGCTGTTAGTAGTTAGTTATGAAATGAAAAAATTGTTTTGGTTTCAGTTAGTTTGGATTCTGTTATAAACTGTTATAAGTTTCTATTTGTGTCTTTTCAAATGATCCAATCTTTTCCTGTTTTCATTCACTCGTCTTGATTTGAATGTATTGAGATTGAACTGAATCTTCCAATTGAAACTCGTTTTTATATTTTTTTAAGGCTTTACTGTATTGTACTGGAATTTCTAATATTTTCTGAATTATTGAATTCTTGTGAATTTCTTGATACAAGTATGTTGTAGATGTAACAGGGCCATTACTTTGCTATGCACATATGCTGGGAAATTGCTTTTGTAACATGTTTATGGAAATCCATCGATTAAGTCAAGGAGAAACGATGAAAATGTCCTAAAGAGCGATGAATCTGGAGAATTTAGTTAACAAGCTTGTTAAGAACTTAAAAAACCGATATTTCTGTTATGCATAATTTCTGACTGAATTTCTTATCATGAACATGTAAGCTGAAGCGGCTTTAATACTTGTATTATGTGCTGATTTTCTTTTATACAGCTCAAGAAGCATGGTATATCATGATCCAACTTCCTAGCACCTTGCTGAGAAGACCAAAGTTTCTCTTGCAGTCATTTCCCTAATATGACATCACACTAGCTGCTATAGGCATCAGTTGGTGAGCTGCTCACAATATATGGTTGTGTATGGTTGAAGCTCGAAGCGTACAGGTAAGTGCGAATACCAAACAAGATACTTAGACTTGGAATGGCCTAATAATCTTCTTATGAACTAGAGAATTATACTTTCATGAATGGTGCTTGATAAATATAGGAATGGTATGGGTAGCTGCTTGATTAAATGGTTTCGCTTGAGAAGTTAGTTTTGCTCACCATTAGCAAATGGATTATACACAGCTATCTAAAGAGGGTTAATTCAATCCACTAGAAAACCTATTAGTAAACTGGAAAATTATTTGTGGAAACTTAACTGACAAAGCTAGTTAGAGAAAGAAAATGAAAATATGTTAGCTAAGAGCAGGGTGGTTCATTTGAATTTTTTTAATCTTATTATTCTATCTGAATATATGCAGGGCTGCAAACACTCGTGAGCTTATTCTGGATCTGATTTCACTTTCTTTTGGTGTTTTCCCTTGCATGACTGGATTTTGGATAATTGGTGCAAGAGCTGAGTTTGGTATGAGGAACTTGCAGGTTTTTCAGGACCAGTTTTTTTACTCAATACTGAGGTTTGATTTCTGGTCTTCACCAACAAACAGCAGGAAGCCTAAGCTTTTAGTTAGTCTTGATCTGTTATGAGATGCTTATGCGACTGTTTTTATTCTATTTTTCTCATCTATGCAGAGTAACCTTTCATTGAGACAAGACAACAATGTGTCGTATCATGAGCATGAATTGCTCTGAAGTGTCTTCCTACTTTGTAATGAAGCTAGCTTGGTTTTATGCATAGGTGCAGGGCTGAACCGGTTTTGTAGTATATGGAAGCATTTTAATTTCCCCTTTGAATAAGTCTTGTAGTATGCTCGGATTTTGATTGAATGAGATGAATTTTGTAGCTTTTGTGTAATGACTTGAATTTGTAATGAACAAAACCTTGTAAGTTCTTGCATGAAGAATTACCAATAATTCAAAAACATTTCCCTCATTCAATTTGAGCTTAAATGAGTACTTGAATGAACTTGAGAAGACCATGATAACCACTTGAGTGTTATTGAATGCATCTTTTGTATTTTTACCTTGGGATGAATAATGATGCAGAATAATCTTGAAAATAACAACTTGAATCATGAAGAATTTTACTTGACACCGTGTACTTTAATCTCAACTTAAGTTCATATGCCATCTTCTTCTGCAAGAAATTATGAACTAAACCTTCAGGCACGCTTTTTTGAATCAAGCTGAACTTTAATCTAAGTTTGAAACCAAATTTCCTGAACAAATACCCAAATGATAATTTATGCCAATTATTCGTAATGCCTTGACTGTCAAGCAACCAGAATTATCATACAAATATCTTGAATCATGACATATTTGACTTATGAATAGATGAACTCAATGCAAAAATGATATAGTCAGGGACTTGTAGCCCAAACATCACACGCGTCTTGGATTGATAACACATTTGATCCTTTAGAGAAATCTTAGTACACCCTTAGTATTGATAAACCCTGACCAAATGATAAGCACAAAAATAGAATGGGGTGTTTTGATTCCCATGCCATATACGCGAAACCACAACCTCAAGTTATTGATAAGAATACCCTGCCACCTGTTGTTCAGCAGAAGATAATAGCCTTGTAACTTGATGGAGAAGAAGTTTAAAAATGAATATGAACCAAAACCCTAATTCCACAGTCTTGTACACCAAGAACAAACAGAACAATAAATCTTATTCAATCATATATGCCTCAAATCAGTCATAAACCCTAGCTTCATAACTACTAATCTTTTGAACCTCAGGCGCTCTTTTGAAATGCAAAATTTATGCTATATTAGTGACCTAATGAAAAGATGCGAATGCAACAACCTAAGCCAGATAAAAGAAATTAGGAGGGAAAATTTTGGGGTGCAAAAGTAAGCATCTCCTAATAATGTAGGAACGAGATTCCCAATCAAAAAGATCCTGATGGCGCTGATATCCACAAATTTGTCGATGTTTAGAAATAAGAACAACTCATAGGCAAATAGAGCAAAGATGGCCTCAAAAGCAACCGTACTCTTCATCCTAGCAAAGTAGCAAGCTTTCTCTAATAAAAATTGAGCGGGTAATCCTCTGACTCCTCCTTTGGTAGTAATGTGGGCCTCAATCTCATACTTCCCCAAATGAATCATAGCAGCAATCTCCTGAGTCTTGGGCTCTCCCTCCAAACCGTTGAAAGGAACACGATCGGTAACAGGTAAACCTAGTAGGTAAGAATACTCTTGCAATATAGGCATCAACTGATAACTAGGGAAAGTAAAACATCAATACATCAAATCATAGAACTGGACCAAAGTCGAGAGAATAACCTCCTTCATCCTGAGCCTCATATGAGACACGATGGATCCATACTTCTTCCAAAAATCTGTAGAACTCTCGATCTCAGGAATCAGACTCATCAATTCATCTATCTTAGGATTTTTGAAACTGTACTTATGAGTCTTTCTTTTTCCAGAATCCATGGTCAAACAGTACCTGAGGTATTCGCAAAATGTTAACTTTAAGTCCCTTGAAACAAAATTTTAAAGGATGCTCATGGGTGCATGAATCCATGATGCAAAAATCACACACAAGATCACAAACATGGGGGGTTCATAGGTGTTGTACCTTAATTTTCTCCCCTAAGATTCCTCTATCATATCATATCAACTCAATCATAACAAGATCATACTAGGGTTTGGTTCTTCTCCTTATCTTTAGCTTTTCTCATGGGGAATCACCAAGCACCTTGAATTTTATTTTGTGATCATCTATGTTTTGTATTGATTAACTTTTGACTAATAAATACAATGAATTTTTTCCCTAATTGATGATATTATAGGTGAAAGCACAACACATTCCATCAAGTTGATTTATAGGTTCATGAGTTTATTCCCATGCCTTCTTCAATAAAGCTTCATTGAGATTCAAGCTTCATAATTGAATATGTTTTGAAGTAATATCTTGACAAAGTCTATTATGATCAACCATGCCTCAAGTTGTCAAAGATATTCCAAAGATGCAAGGGTTGATTGGAGAAGTTTGACCTAATTGGACAAGTCTTAGATTTCTTGATCACAAGTTCATATCTCCCTCAATTCTCAATATTTGGAAGTGGTTATGGTTTCCATGGTTTCTCATTATCATCCTAAACAACTTCTATTTACATGACAAAATTATTTGTGCAACAAGGTTTGTCAAAATTGAAAAGGTTTTCCAAGGCATTTTGTTGCTCTAGGAGCTAGGGTTTTTAACTTTTAAAGGCTATATCTTGCTCATCTTTTGGTGTTTTCGCGTGATTCTAAAAAAAAATTCTCTTCAAAGGGTTTTCAATATATCACTTCCAAATTCAAGAAAATTTTGTGTGGAAGATACCTAATGATGAAGAAAGATTACAAGTCCTCTAGATAGGACATCAAATTCTCTTATGTGACTTCAAAAGATCATAGCTTGGTCAATTTTTATCTCCATGATCCTATTCCTTTTCCATAATAATCTTAAATGTGTTAACTTAAACTCTTCTTTTATGTGAAAATCTTGAAAATGGATGGAAGATGCCCTAAGGATGCAAAAGATTATAGGTTATCTCATGAATTTTCATCAACTTCACAAAGTAATAACTTTCTCAAGTTTTGGATTTTATAAATGATTCAAGTCTCAAAATGTCATTCAAGATATGTAATTCATGCCATCTTTTTTGGTCAAGAGCAAATTTTAAATGGAAGGCCATGTTTGGATGCAAAACATTATGGGTCATTTTGAAGAAAAAACATAGAAATTTTCTAAGTACAAAAAGTTAACATCTTTTTCTCAACTTTGACTCATCACAACTTTCAGCTCAAGCATCCATTTGATTCCATTCTTTGCACATTTTAAAGGTTGTGATATCATCATTCTAATGCAACAAGAATTAAGTCCTAAGGTTCCCTAAATCATGCACACCATTGATTCAAAGATGGAACCTTGAAACTGAAGTTTTCTCCAAAGTCAGGATTTGAAATCCTCGATTTGGCCTCTAAACAAAAAATTTATGCGTGTTTTCACTTCTAATCATGTTTAATGAACTCCCAGAAGTGATTAGCTCATGGAAGCGCAAGCTTTGGTTGAGTTTTGAGCAAAATCAAATTCACACTTTTCATGTTTGCAACTTCAGACGATTTCTTTCCAAACTTCATCATTTCACACGCTTAAGCATTCCCTTAGTTTCCCTATAAATAAAGGGTCATACCTCATTCACTTTCTCAAGCTTGAAGAGGCAAAATCACTCTGTCAAACTCCCTTCATAACACCTTTTTTTTGAGATTTCGAATTCCTATTTTCTCAACTTTTCAAATCAATTACTTCATTGATATTCCATCCTTGAACTTCCATGAAGCTAACAGAATAAGAATCAAGCCTTGAGGTGTCTGAAATCGTGCTAGCCAAGTTCATTTATAGAGCAACTTCATATGACTTCATTCAGGTAGTTTAAGGCACCAAATCTTCTTACTCAAATTACTGAAATGGTCATTGATGTTCACTGATGCTTGTTGTTAACTCAATTTTGGTGAAACAATGCATTTGATGCTTTTGATTTTCGATTTTAACAGTTTTAAACATCTCTGGTTTTTTCCAAATCGACTGCGCTATGCTTTATATAAATTTTTCGCAAGCATATGGTTGTGATCGTCTCAAGTAGACACATCTAATGGTACCACTATGAATGCATAAATTTACAGATTCAAGGATTTGAGATTTGCCCTATTTGCAGGAGGCTGGAGGTTGAAGACGACCTACATGTCGTTCTTCAACCAATGACAATAGGCCAAGTGTTTTATTTTCCTTTAGTGGATTTTATTGTAATACATGCGGGCGCTCTGCCATGGGTCCATGATGATCCCTCACCTCAGATCCGTTGGATTCTCCAGCGTGTATTAGTGGGAAAGATTCAACGCGCGTGGTTTTTTTTTATTTTTTTATTTTACAAAATTATATTTTAAATTCCTTTTATCTTTAAAGATTCATAACTCTTTTATTTTTTATCTAAAAATTATGAAAAAAATATGCAAAAATAATTATTTCTGATTTTGTGAATAGTTTTTCATATTTTTATAATAATGTTTGATATTTTTCATAAATTTTTGTTTTGTTTGCTTTATTTTAATTATTTTAAAAATACTTTTTGACTTTTTTAAATTCTGATTTTTTTTATATAAATCATATATTTTATTTCTGATCTTCTGAAATTTTTCTAGAATTTTATTTTAATTCTTACTATTTTCGATCTTTTTTCAATTATTTGAGAGTTTTTAATTAGTTTAAAAATACTTTTTTGTTTTAAAAAATTACCAAAAAATTTATAAAAATATTTGAGATCATCTCTGATTTTTCTACAGTCTCTTTTAATTTTTCTTGGATGTTTTGAATATAGTTGATATTTTCATTTAAAAACCATTTTAAAAATCTTTTTCTTTATTTTTAAATACAATTTTATTTTTTTATATATTCTGGTTGATCTTAAACTATGAGATTTTAATCATGAGCTTCACTAACATCATTTTATCTTGGTTGTTGGGTTTAATTCCACCAAAATAGATGAATGATTTTAATGATAGTTTGATTAATTTTTTATTTCAAATAT